CACCCAGCGAAACGTGTCCCACATATTCTAGTTTTGACTGACTATGGCTATAATTGCCGAGATCATAAGCTACGATTATGATGATTGAAAATTTTAACATAATTGACACTTGTCGCGAAAATCCATAACCGGAGAAACACAGGCACAGTGCATTATTTCGATGCCAGGAATAAAAGGAAATTGAATTCAATACAATATTCGCATATGTATATGTACATGTGTGTACGAATGTATGTAAGTCATCGATTCCAGCGTGTTGGAATGGCCAAGTGCACCGATCAAATCTAGTGGCAGATTCCTGGACAAATGAGCCATCACTTGGCCTAGACAATCATTTCTGCCAAAATCCTCCCTATGACAGCTAAGGTTATATCTCAACTCCGGCTTCACATGTTCAGCGTTTCCAACGCACTGAGAGGGACCTATTTAGAGAAACAGAGGATAATTTGTAGCGACTAGAGGAGATGTTTGTCACGAAAAGTACCAGTATCTCTACCAAATTTGCAAAGGCATCAGGTTGTTGGGAGGTGATTACAAGAGAGGGGAGGAGGGGGGGGACGGGAGGTCTGAATTTACTATCGCATTTAGACCTGGCCTATCATAGAGATCTTGGAATTGGTCTCCACTTAAGCTAATTCACCTAGATTGTATTAATGAATCCTGATGATTTGACATGCCAAAATGTCTACAGGTAGCCACTTCACCCACAACTGCTTCAGACTTGCGTCGATCAAGTCGCTTTCATGAGCACAGAATTCCGTGCGACGTCGAGAGAGGGAGAGAGAGAGAGAGTTCCCATAACTCAACTTGTGAAAACATCTGACCTTGTTGAGACACGTACCATCTTTTCATTTATTTTGAAATTCGTTTTCCAAAACTCTCATATAACTCCCCTTTATTCGCCATCTTGTGCGTGCATGAGTCCAAATGTTCATCTTTTTCTCTCCGTTTCTAACATACTTTAGTTACCCCAAATAGAACTTAAAACAGTTTAGATAAAAAAATACTTTAATTACTACAAATATGTGTGCATCCTAGAAAGAAACGGGGTTAACCTGCTTTGTAACATTATCACGTGATGGTAAATATCTTTTACCTGCCAATTCACCAGACAATTCAACTAACTGAAATAGGAATGACCATGATTAAGAAATGTTGAAGGGATTGGGGGGTGCGAGGGGGTGCGAGGGGCCGGGGGGTGAAGGGGGGAGTGGGGAGGGGGGTACTTAGGCCAATTCTTCGCCTTCAGAACTCAATCCACTTTGGAATGGCCTAACTGCAACAATATGCCAGGTTCGCATTCAGAAATTTTATTTTTTCTCTGAATAAGATGGCCACTTCATTAGTTTAAAGCATTTGCAGTCATTTAGTTGGCAATTAAGGGAAACCAATTTTGTTCAACGAGTTTTGAGGTGAAATTGAGAAACCCGGGAAATAAAAAGTAAAAATTTTTCGCCAATGTGGTTCGAATTCAACGATAATCAAATTAAGAAACCAAATCTTGCTCAATAATTTAAATTTAATTTAAATTTGTTATGTCAAAAATTCAACAAAATATCCTTATTCTATCACCGAAGTTATGGCGAAATATTAGCGAGGACGTCCAATTAAATTGTAGAAAAAAACAATTCTTCTTATAAACTAAGAATGTTTTATTCAAATTCAAGATGATTGGTCGTAGTTTTAATGCATAATTGCCTAATAGTAGTTTTTGTGGGCATCTGAAGCACATAGACACTTGTCCTCAGAAAAAATGGTATTTTTGCATTTTGGAAATGAAAGTACAAAATGATTGTGAGAATGCTGTGGAGTGTAAGTAAAGAAATCTTGCTCGCTGGAATATCCT